TACTCCTGTCACTGGTCTTGTTAAAAGCATCATATATTCACGGTGAAACTTACCATACTGAAGTAATGAGATAACGTATGCATTCCTGTTACATACCTCACTGTTAAGATTTTCAATAAAAACCTTGGAACAAAGGACAAGGGGGCCTTCCTCATTAGGGGGATGTGCCACGGCCTTCTCCAGTAGGAATGAAGTGCCCATCTGCTCTCCCCGCAAACGGAGAAGTGTTTGCAACATTTTGTGTTTATTTCCCCTCATCCTTGACAACCCCCGGATGGGCTCTGCGAGTTTCAAAGCCTTGATCCCACCTCAGCTGGCCCCCGCCGGTTTCCCTCAGGTTTCAGGGAGTGCTGTGCTCTCTGAGGCATTCGCTCGCAGCGGTGTGTCCCCTATAGCTTCTGCACAGTGTGACAAACATCATCTCTGACCAGAATGATATGAATCTATAAAACAAACATAAGAAAAACACCCTTTAAAAATGAAGAAAGTCATAGAGCCTAATGTGTAATAAACAATGAATGGGTTAATAATGAGATGTAGAGAGAAATCAAAAGTTCCCTTAAGGCAACTAAAAGAAAGAGCTCAACAACTCTAAAGTCTATAGGACATGGCAAAAGCAGTTTTAAGAGAAAAATTTATAGCATTACAGGCATACCTCAGGAAACAATAAAAAAGTAACTCAACTAAACAATCTAACTTTACACTTAAGGAAACTGGACAAATCAACACGCAAAGACCGAAGTGAAGAAAAAGAGAAAAATAAAGATCAGAGAAGAAATAGATGAAGTAGAGTCTAAAAAGGTTAGTTCAAAAGATCAGTGAAACCAAGAGGTAGTGCTTTGAGAAGATATACAAGATTGACAAACCTTTAACCAAACTCATCAAAAAAGAAGGAGGATGTAAAAAAATGAAATTGGAAATAAAAGTGAAGTGACAATCAACACTGAAGAAATAAAAAAGGTTGTAAAAAATATAGCCGACAACTATAGCCAACAAATTGGACAGACCGGAAGAAGTGGGTACATTCATAGAAACATACAATTTTACGAAATGGAATCTGGAAGAATTGGAGATCTGAAGAGAAAGAGTATAAGCAGAGAAATTGAAGCAGTCAGCCAAGAACTTTGTCATTTTGCTTATTTCCTTTGTATTGATTCCAGGAGAGAGGGAGGGACGAAGAGGTAGAAAGAAAAAAAAGATGGATGTGAGAAAGAAACATTGATCCGTGGCATCTTGCATGCACCCAACTGGAGAAGGAGTCTCCAGTTCAGGCGTGTGTGCTCACAGAAACCCAAGCAGCAGCCCTTGGGCTTGCCAGGCGACACACAACCCGCTGAGCCACACAGGTCAGGGCCACAGTGCTTCAAACAAATGGAGAGTCATGGACCGGCTGGCTTCACAAGGTGAATTTTATCAAACTTTCCGAGAAGAACTAACACCTATCCTTCTCAAGCTATGCTAAAAATCCGCCCCCCCCAAGTGAATTCTAATGAATAAAATAAACTAACAAACTGAGTGTAAACAGGAGCATGGGTACATAAAAGAGACGGACTGACAGAGGAGAGTGATGGGAAGAAACTCGATAAAGTACATTAAAGGAATTATCCAAAGAACACGTATGCGTATCCCATAGACCCAAACTGTGGTGATGGCCAGAGGAAAAGGGACGTGGCCACTAGTGGAAGTGGTCAATCAAAAGTAGGAAAAAGTAAAAACAGTGGTGGTATTTGTATATGACATGTTGCAAAACACTAGCTATGAGTGTAGGTTAATTACTGCTTACAAATTGAGCACAATATCTGAACAGCTAGATGTCCTGAACAACATGAAAAGACAAAATAACACTGGAAATAAGTGGCTCTATTTGATATACAGTTTTATAAGGATACCAAAGGCCAACAAATTGTGCACTTGCAAATGGTGACAATGGCAAATTTTATTTGTGTGCATTTTAAAACAATTAAAATTGTTCCAGTATTACAAAGAATTACGTCCCGTTTGCTGTAATGAGCTTGATATTTGCAACTAAATATAGAGTAAAAGATTCAAGGTAAATTGACACTTGAAGTATGACATGGGTTATTGGAAGTTTGAGCAAAGTCTAAGTGCCATCTCTATTGGTAGCTTTAGTGTAAGAGGGAAAACTGAAGTAAATAAACAATGGAAATTACCATAAATTCAGGGAATTTTCACTTCTGGGTTCCAGGGAGGCTATGTGGTGTCCTGAATGCTGACAGTGGCCTGGCTCCTGCCTTGTGTGTTCTCCAGTGGTTAGCCTGGTTGTGTTTTGTTAATTCATGTGTACATGGTACAGACTTTCTCACGCTTTCTAAATAAACAGGCTTAAAGATTGACATTTATAGTTTTGTTCCATAATCATTTTGGCTTTAAACATAATTGCCCTATCTTTATTATAAACAATTCTTGTGCAAAGATATAATGACCTATTTTTGATAAAGGATGATGTTGCCCTTAATAAAGCCATTCATGGAAATATTTTATGTGTTTTGAAAGAATAATATAGTCATGTCTATTTAAAAATGCAATACACAGTTTTTAAGAGTATTGAGGTTGTCCTAATAGGAAATGAAATGATTGTGTCTTTTTATTAATTGTAAAGACATAATGTTTTGAAAAGTGTTAAATGCTTTCTCATTTGTAATGACCTTTGCCTTTCAAAATTACACAGATTATGTCCCATACTGTCAATGATCCTGAAATTAATAAATGTGTTCGTGTAGTGATGGCCATGGCAGGAATAAGACCGCACACGCCAACATGGATGTATCACAGAGACACAATAGTAAGTAAAAAGAAGGAAGACTGTTCCATTCATCTAATCCATGTACAGGGGTGGGTAAGCACAGAGGATGGCAGAAGAGTCAAACTGAGCCTCAGGCCTTGTTAACGGACACCCCATGTACGAGTGATTTTTTTCTTTCTGAAACACAATGTGAGAACGGTGAGGGTCTCTCAGGGGCATTGTGAGATGGAGGGAAGGGAACCGTGAGAACCCCCGAGGGCAGACTCTTCAAAGCACCCCAATATGTCTTTTCTCCAGGCAATTTCACCAAGATTTCTTACCTCTTGAAATATTAATCATTTATGATCATGGTCGAAGTTTGTTGTTTTCATGTCCTTGATCGTGTCAGATAAGCAGCAATTTTTATTTTGGCAGCTCTTCTTACTTAGCCATTGATACCAGAAATGAAGCTCATTATTTCTATGATTCCTACACAGTGACAAGCCTGGAATTATACACATTTTCCAGATAGCGAAACTGAAAAGAATGTACTTACTCCTAACATACAATTATTAACATCTGAGTTGATTGCCTTTTTGAAGAGGAAGCAGACATTGTGCACAGGCTTATAGTGGCTGTAGAAACAGAAAGGTGATCCTAAGAGTCACTGGCCTTATGGAGCTGATATTCTGGTAATGAAACAGGAGAACAAAAAGTGAACAAGCAGTACCTCAAATGGCAATACATCCTCTAAAGGGTAATAAAGGGGAGTGAAGGGGGGAGACTGGATGGGATTCTATTACTTATTAATATAAGAGGGTCAGGGAACCTTCATGATACCGATACATTTGAGTATAACCTGGAGGGAGGCGAAAGGGATCATGGGAATCTGTAGAGAAAGATCAGTTAAGAGACAGAGAACGGCCTGTGCAGTGGACTTGGGGGGCTGAAGGGTCCTTGCTGTGTTCAAAGGGCAGAAAGTCATTGTGTCCAGAATGAATAAAAAGAAAGTAAAGAGAAGCCTCTCCCAGCAGTAGGGGCTCCGGAGGCTGCAGGGGGGCTGTGGCCAAGGAGCAGGGCAGCGAGCAGGCTTCCCAGGGAGCGGCAGCACGTTCCTCGGTGAGGCTCATCTCCAGTCCTGCCTGAGGGGATTAGCCAGGACGCCACATCTTCGGTGTCCTTCAAATATATACGTAAAAAAGTAAAAATTAAGTTAAATATGTAATTTTTCCAGAAATGAAGCAGACCATGTATGCAGTAATGATGATTCTGGTTCCTGACCTAAGGATTATAACTTTTAAATTCTTGGCTCCTTTTATTAAAAAGAAACAACAGCAACAAACCCAGAAAACTTGTCAGTGTCCATCTTATGTCATTCAGACAAAGAACCAAAAAGTTTGGTCTCTTGGACAAACCTTAATCACCTAGTATTGTCCAGAGAAGGCATCTTTTATGTGATCAGCTACAACTCCAAGGAGATTTGAACTCCTGTAGTGGCTGGAATATAAAATTATTATTCTATGTCTTATATTCACACTGTGAGCAAAGATAGCCCGCAGCTTGCTTCTGTTGAACCAATTTTCCTGTATTTGTGACAACACTACACTTTGTCAAAATATGCCCCATGGTGCAGAATGATCACAGGAAGGTTCTGGATTCTTTGTCTGAGCTGCGCTAAGGGTGTCTGCTCCACACAATGGCAGATCCCACGGATGTATCTGAAGTTACCTCTGAATAACATGTTTTGTATCTTCTAACTGGTTTATCACTATTATAAATTTTCTAATTTAAGGATTTCTCCCTTAGAAGATACTCTATTTCACATCATCAACACACACACACACACACACACACACACACACACACCCCCCTAATTCTTTCTGTTTTGTATCCAGTATTTTTTCTAAAAACCAATATTTAGTGTAGACCTTATTGTGTAGGTGTAATGCTATTGACATTTGAGCCTATTAACTCTGATTTCCTTATATTTGAATGTCTGATGTACATCAGGGATGGAGAACAGTCCTTCTGTGATCAACAGATGAGGGGGAGTGTGGTCCTGATCCTTAGACTTGTGTAATGATTAAAAAAAGAAAAGAATAGAGAAAAGCCCAAAACTCAAAGCTCAAGGACATTTCTGAGTTTATTGATTCAATACACATCTTCAATAACTATTCGCCCTCTGAAGTATTTTGTTATGATAATGCAAAAAAAAATTTGTAATTACACTTTAATAACATACAGGAGAAAAGGAGGGTCACTCGGATTTCACATCCAGCTCAAGGGGCCAACTGTCAGTAGCCGTGAGGGGGTTGGAGGCTCTACACTGGTACCACCCCGAATCTTCCTTCTTGACGGGGTTTATGGTGAGGTGTCGGTGGTCTCCAGACAGTGTCACACGCTCCGTGAGCTGCAGATACATGCCATTGAACAACCACTGGATGGTGACCCCATTTGTGTAGCAGTGCAAGACCAAACTGTCGTCATTCTCTGTGACTGTGGTGTTACTGGCTTCGACTCTGGCCAATATCACAGGTGCTACAGAGAAACAGAGAATGTGACTGATTAAGAATGAGCTTGAGACATGGAGCCACGCTGCTGACGCAGATCTCGGCCACTCGCAGCCCACAGTGAGCCATGGAACAGTCACCAGAGTGTGTTCCCGACATTTGCAGAAGAAAAATTGTCTAAGTTCAGGAGGCCGTATGTAAGGACAGAGCTGCGTCTCCTCTCTGGCCCCATGTACCCCAGGGTGATTTTCCTCAGCTGTTCCCTCAGACATCTTGTAGCAGTACCACAGAAAACCCCTTGCCAGCCATATGTCCCATAACCTCAACATCGGGAACAATTTTTCTCTCATCAGCTTATAGTGATCTTTTCCTAGGACTTCTATTTTTTTTTTTTTAATTTCACAAAACATCAGGACCCACTCGCTATCTAAACTCTTATCTATGTTGTGGAAGGCAGGCTTACCACTTTGTCCATCTCTGCGGCCAAAGGAAGTTTACAGTGGTGCCAAAGTGTTGAGCGTTTGTTTAATAATTTATTAGGCAGTAAAGACTGTTCAATGGAGAAATGACAGTCTTTTCAGCAAATGGTGTTGCCCAGCAATATCCCCATGCCAGCACATGACATGGATCATCGTCTTATACTGTCCACAAAAATTAAGTCAGAATAGATCATCTTCTAAAGGATAGACCTAAAACTATAAAATGCTTAGAAAAAGGATAGGGAGAAGCACTATGACATTGATTTGAAATGATTTTATGAATATGACACTAAGAACACAGGCAAAAAATAGACAACTTAGATTTTGTCAAAATGAAACATCCTCTTCAACAAAAAACACAACAGACTGAAAGGTGACCTATGAAAGGGGAGAAAATGTTTTGAATATCATGAAAAATAAAAGGTTAATATTTAGAACATACAAAAAATCTTCTACAATTCAATAGCAACCCCAAAACCAAATAAACTGATTTAAAAATTAACAAGAAACTTGAATAGACATTTCTCCAGAGAATAGATCCAAAAGGCCAACATCGCAGAAAAAATACTCAACACCACTTTTTTTATGAAAATGAAAATCAAAATTCTCAAGGCTGAATTTGATACTTGTGATGTTGGGTGTGGTAACTTTGCTCTTCAAGTAGGAGAATGAAGATTGACCTGTATAGCATCTTTCATTTCTCCAAAAAGCTTCTTCAACCAGAGTGAGCTCTTTCACATCTCAGTCAACTTGAATCTTTGAAAAAGCAGTACAGGCCTGTGTATCCCATGAAAATGCATGGGAATCTGAGCACTCACAGAACATATGGACCCCAGCTCTATGTCTGGGGGAATGGGCTTTCTCACATGCCAGTTAAGTATCAGGTTTGCTTATGGAAAGACATAAGACTGGACAACAGAGATACCCCTGCACTTCTGGTTCTGTACTGACCAACTGACTGCTTCGCTGACCAGGAGTGTTTCCTTCCACCTGCACAGACTTCTGCTGCTCAGGGAGGTGGGTTTGTATGAGGCACCGTTTCCTGGGACATCCTAGAGACTGGGGTTCAAGGAGAAATAATACATAGAGACCAGAAACAAGCCAGCGGTGAGTTGACTACTGAAGCCACTGGGCTGAGGGTTGGGTCAGGTCTTTCCAGGTGAGTGTGACTAAAATGACACAAGAACCACTAAATGATAGAGTACAGTTCAAGGAATGATTTAAAAAAGAACGAAAAGGGCTGGCAGAAGCTGATTATGGCAGCAGAATCCTGTGCTCTGCCCTTGTTCATTAAAGTCATCCTCTGTCCCCTGAAGGCAGATGAGGACGTGTGCAAATGCAAAAGAAGTCTCTTATAGCAATGGGGAGCGTAGGCTTGCTGAAATGCCGGCCCCTGAGGGCAATTTGTGTTAGGTGGCTAAGAGACAGAAATTTGGAAAAACTTAAAATTGTTCTGTATGTGAAAATTATTATTAACACCCTAGGGCCTCAGACCAACTGCAAGAAAGACTGTTTTACTAGAAAAAAGAAAAGGGTCAGAGATAATGGTTTTGTTCCTGGGGGCACAGAAAGCCTGTCCCTCATGGCAAGAATTCAGAGGACTGTGTACCCATCTTCCAGGCTCTGATGTTATTTTGAATTACTCATTCATTCATTCATTGAACCTGATTCTCTCTTCCTGGTTCATCAAAAGCAACTGAGCGTTTAACGTTTCATGTTGGTCCCTGAGCTGGTTTCAGGGGAAGAGTGGGGAGTGAGAAGGCGAAGTGCCTTCCTTTGATCTGCTGGGAGTGACTCCACCAAAACAAGAAGCAAATAAATAAGTGTTGTCGAGTCCAGTGCAGGGAGGTGTGGCTACGCCACCTGAGGGCGAGGCCTGTGCAGTGACTTGGATTGTTCCTGCAGGTAATTTGGTTCTAGAGTAAAAATACATTATTTCTCCTTTTTTCACTACACAGACCAAACTGTATTCCTATTAGCTAAGGATGCCTAAGACAAAAGGATCTGCACCAGTGTGTTGGTTTTAGAATCCAGACACCTTTATGTGGCTTCTAAGGTAGAGGAATGAAGTCTATGGCTACAACAGACCTTGAGGGACTCTGATCAGCTGCTCATGGTCAGTGTGACTCTGCTTTAGTGACTGTGTCTCCGTTTTTCAGTTTATTCTCAGTGGATATTTGGCTGCCAAGTTGTCAGTATACAAACTGCAGAATACTTAGTCTCTGACCTAAACCTGGGATAGAAGAGCTGTTCAAATAAGAGGCATCTCTTATTGATTGACTTCAAGAGAGACTCTTCTGGGCTGATCCCTGGTGAATGAGGAGCTGCCAAGGAGGCTCTTTTTTCCTCAGTTTCATTGTGAGGATGCTGACCTTTTTCTGAACTTTTCCAAGTCCCCAGCACAGTCAGTTATATCCAAGGACATTGTCTAACTGTGCTCTCCACACAGCCTCAGGTGATGCTGAACTCCATTTCTGCCAGGAAGTGATTCTTGCACCTGTGTCCTGACTGGTGACCAGCTCAGGAGCCTGTGACTTGGGCATCCATTAAACCGCTACACACTCAGCCATTCCCAGAGGCCTAATCCGACCTTGCAAAGGTTCACGAGATTCTCTGGAGACAAGGTTTCTGGGACAGGGTTACGGGGAGGGGTTTCTGAGCTGAGCTTGGTAAGAATTTCAGGAGGCTTCTCAGCCCAGGCTCTGGCCTAGTACAGCAGGATCATTCTCAAGGTCAAGTTCATAGGAAGTTGCTCAGGGTGCTTGACTGAGACTGGTCTCTTTCTGCTGAGTCACTTCCATCAGAATGATCCTTCTATCTGCACTGACTGTCTGCAGGGCCGGAATTTGGGAAGGGAATGGAGATCTTAGGAAGTTTGTCTGCACTCTGTGTATCCTGCATTAAATGCTAAAATCCAATGTGCAACAAAACGCAGAGGGGGATGGAGGCAGAGTTCAGGGCTCTTGGTTTAGTGTGCGAAGAAAAAGAATTCACCCCGCCAGACACCCAGAGGTCAGAGAGCAATTACTCACGGTATACACGGAGCCGTCCGAATCCTATTTCCTTTTTGTAATTGGTAAGGAAGACCACTACGGTGTACATTCCTGCATCTTTCATGGTGACCTTCTTTATCAGCAAGGTTCCATCTGAGTTTATTCTCTCTCGACCACTGTGCTCAGGACCATTTGCATACATTCTTCTGCTTCGTGAAAGAAGTGCAATTGCATGACGTTTGTCAGCTCCTTCCCCCCTGTACCACACGAAGCCAACTGCATCCGGTGGCTTATTGCGCATCTGTAGACGCACATCTTTCCCTTCAGCAACATTGACTGACACAATAGCTAGCTGGGCCGTGATGGGCAGGCTCCAGAAGGTTAAGAGTGAGACTAGGAAATAAATAAGAAAAAAAATTGATCACTATTTGTATCTATGGGTCGTGATGGAAAGATGTGACCCTGAATCCTGAGCAGGTCTCTTTATCGCTCAGCCTTGGTCTGCGTGTGAGGGTTTTTGTCTCACATGCCAAGGTCAACAGCGTGGCCCCCATTACTTCAGTGCCTCTGAAACTTATTTTTTCCATTTCAAATACTCTTTCCAGGTGTTTTTTCCCCTTAATACCTCACTGAGCACAGACTCCTTTTGACACTCAGAGGCATTTTTGAAAAATACCTTTGCTGACCACCTTCTCTAAACATCCTCTCTCTTCACTTTCTGACCTGCCCAGCTCTGTTTTCTTTTTTCCCATGACTCTTGTGTGTACCTGATGTCAGATCTAAATTCTTCCTTTTCCCTCTCTCCTCCATAGAACATGGGCTCAATGAAAGCAGGGCCTTGTCTCACCTTGTACCTCCAGTGACTTCAACAGGCTGCAAATACATGGGGTTGAATGAATGAGCAACCCCAGGCTTGTACCTTGTGTGGTATTTGACCCTTTCTGAGGCTGGCGATAAAGGCAATGCCTAGCAGCCTTGGTTAAGTTTTCTTTCTGCTATTTCTTGACATAAATCATCATCATCATTATTATTATCAGTTTTCATAATTCAATACTCTGGTGGATACCAAGAAAAGAACAGCAATTGAGGTTTTCCTGCCTCTCACTACTTCCTGCTTATGACATTTTCCCCTTACTGAGCCCCTACACCCACTACTCTACTCTAATTTCTTTGATCTTCATGTCCAAACAGAAGCCTTCCCTCTGTTCTCAGCAAATTGGTCTCCTCAGCAGATCCCAGCCAGTCTCTGGCAGATCCTTTGTCTTCCCCAAGGAATTGCCTCCTACTTACCAACCATCAGGAGCCCTTGCCAGTGGACAGGTCCTCTGTGGGTAGAAACTGGAAGGGATCCCATGGTCTCTGCTCTGTGGCTCCCTTTCTGAGAAGAGCTTGAGGTTCTGTGAAGCTCAGAGGCACAGCACTCTGGACAGGTGCAACCCGCTGTGTGTCTTACCTGTGAGCTGAACTTTATACTGGGGCATGTTTACTATTCTTGTCATGTGGGCTGGGGGCAGGGTCTGTGCGCAGAACCCTCCCACTCCCTGCCCTCTTTTTGCCACACTTGCCCCTCTGTACCAGTGCTGCTCCCTTATATTTTGGTTCCTTGGCAACTCCTGAGGTATCGCAATACCACACATGTGCACACACAGGGGCACATGCACACATGCATATGAACACACACGTACACATACATTCTCAGGAAGTATTTGGAAAAGTACAAGCCTGGGGTGTCCGGATTTTGGGCGTTCCCCACACCTCCCTGTCAGGTGCATAGCAGCCTTCCCTGAAGCCTCTCTTCCACATTTGACTTTTCCCTCCAGAGCAGGAGTTCTTGACTTAAATCAGAAAAACCTGTCACAGGGATGTCACCCCTGCTGTGCATCAGATCACTTGTGAAACTTAGTAAACATCACAATGCCTAGGTGACACCTTACAAATGCAGCCTCAGCAGCTGTCCAGACTGTGGGCGCCCACTTTAAATGAGATCTCTAGATGTGAAGGTGGAATCACTTCTCTTCCTCTCTGTGCACAGGCGAAGTCTCCAGCTTCCCTCAAGCTGCTGATTCTGACTGGGAAAGGATGCAGTGGGTCACAGACTCTGCATCTGACAAGCTCTCAGGAGAGGTTGGTCCCACTGGCCTGGGGAGCTCACTTGCAATAGCACAGCTGATGGGGGTCCATGTGCCCCAGAGAGGATGACCCACTCGTGCCAGTGTTGGCTTCTGTGGTGACTTGGTATTGGATCTGCCATCACCTCAGACAGATGCCCTGGTCAAAAAACAGGGATTATTTCTGTTTGTGACGCAGAAACCTAGTTGGGAATCCAGTTCTTCATGTTCTCAAATACTCTGAGAAGCTTTTATTCCTTCCCAGTAGGAAGGTCACAGAGATGAATTTGGGGATTTGGAAGGGTCCAGCTTGGTGATAGTTGCAGAGGGGACCCTTCTTCTACCTCACGTTGTTACCAGACTGGCTTTGCTTATTGAGAACCAGACGCCTCAATAAGGCCAGCAGTTTTGGGGTATAAAGAGGCAGTTGTCTTGTGTGTCCCAGGAAGAAAAAACTGTGGTGAAAAGTCAGGTGCCTGGGAGCTCCCTGGTCCTCGCAGGACAGTTTCAGGTAGACCCTCCCTGTGCGTGTCTGTTTGTGGGCCTGCCCTCGTGCTCCCTGACTGTTGGAACAACCTCCGGTTTCTGCCCGAGACGCTTTCCTTTGGTCACCTCACCTTGCCCACGGACGATGCCAGGCCTGGGGCAGAGACCAGCCAGACACCCCTCAGAGACGAGGGGCTCCCAGGCCCTGTCAGAGTGAAGAAGTCCAGACCTGTGCTGCAATGGCATGAGCTTATCTGAGCCAACTGACCGCACAAGGCTGTGAGAAAGGACTCAAATCCTTTGAAGAAGGCAGTTTTGGGCCTTATTTTGTACATTGCAAATAAAGTATACGGTGAAAATGTAGCACAGAATCCACTAGTAGGTGAGAGAGAACACAGCAGGGCAATCTCCAGTACTGGAAAAGAGGAAAATGGAGACACATATTATTTACGTTGGTGGACATAAGGTAATTAATATTTACAGACAGAGAGGGGGTATTCAGGGGACAAGATAATATACAACGTTCTCTGTTATCATACACTTGTTCCAGATTCTGTCTTTGTATGGGCCAGCTCAGGAAAGCATTCTGATGTGTTGAAGTCATGCTCTCCAAGACTTAAAAAAATAAGAATAAAAAAGGATCAGGGTTCCCTCAGGCTAAAGAGTGACCTTTGCTAATGAATACAGAGGCCTGGGATGTGACCACCTGCCATGACCTGCCCAGTTAGAGCTTTCTGATCACAATGTCCTGTGAGGCTTGTCAGGCCTGCCATGGGGCCCCTGAGCTTGTCAGGGTTACTGCGCAGCCTCTCTCTGTTAACAGTCTTAGAAGGAGCGGGTGGGACAGAGCCTCATGAGGGAGGCCCAGGAAAGCCTGGTGAAGGAGGGGACGAAAATTAGGCTTCTTCTCTATCTTCCTAGTCCAGCCAGGTTCTTGTGTCCTATTTCCTGGGTGTCTCAATACTTTCCCTTGTGGGACAGAAGTAGACCCGCAGCTAATGTCAGCTGCTTTACTGAGATGGTGACCAGTGCAGGGTGAGCCCCGTGAGAAGGCAGGCACTGTCCAGACCACTATGAGTCCAGTGTCAGGAGAACTGTCCCTCGAGAGGGATTTGCTATTGTAAACAGAGAGCCCTCTGCTTTCCAGTGTTCAGGGAAGGGCCTGGGGAAGGTTCTCCTGAGGCTTTTGGGAGAAGTTGCAGGCCAGGAGGGTTGATCCCAAAAGTGTCCTGTGTGTCCTCTATCACTGCTCTGGAGTGTTGTACAAAAGTCATTTCTGTGTCCCTGTCAGCCCACAGGGCCCAGAGCTGGAGCATCTGCATGAGAAGACCAAACCAGAAGCATTGTGTGTTCTTTTGCTAGAAGAAGAGAGATTCTTGTAGAAGCCTCAGCCCCTCTGGATGGAAGAAACCACAGATTACCGGTTCTCCTCTTCCATTATGCACAAGAAATTTCCCTTGTCCCCCAGGACATCATGAACTAGACTGACGTCTTCAGAAGCAACAGGCAGGTGTCCCACAGACCAGGAACTCTGGGAATGAAAAGTCATCCCTGATTCTTACAAGGTCAGGCTGTGCTCTTTCCTCTCTGGCAGTAACTCTTCCAGGGGGTGAGGATCCAGAGTGCCTGTCAGGTCAGGTACCCTGAGAACAGGAAGAACCCAGGCCTGGGGAGGTGACACATGACTCACAGGGCGGGACTGTGGAGGGCAGTGCTTTTGGAAGAATAAAATGCAGTCGAAACCCTCATGTTAGGACATTCCTTCCTTCCTGCTGACTGCATGAGAAGTGAAAGGCTGACCCCAGCATGTGCCCAAGCAGACAGTGTCCTCTTGTCATGCTGACACCAAGTATTTGGGTCTGTGAGGAGCATGATTTGACAGCAAGTGCACACAGAGTGACAGGCTTCCATTGTATGATTTCCCTTATCAGTTTAATGAGTGTTTACAGAGCATCTGTCATGTGTCAGGCTCTCGGCTGAGCCCCCAAAACTCCAAAGAGAATAAGACAGTGTGGTCCTTATGCTTATTGAGTTTGCCTTGTAACAAAGACAGGGTCTCAGATAAATCATGGCTCTAGGGAGTTAATTACATCCAGTGAAGGGTCATAAAGGGAAACTTCTGGTGCATTAATAGCACATACTTGAGTCTCAGCTCACCTGGGGATCACAGAGAGCACCTCTGAGAAAGGACCTCTTGGCTGAGACCTGAAGTGTGGGTGGCCATTTTCCCCCTGAAGAACAGAGGGTGTTGAAAAATAGTTGCCTGCAGGTGACTAGCTCTTGCTGGGCTGACCGTTGGCTGGATGGAGGAGCAGACACAGTCCACATGGGGAGCTTGGGGAGTTAGGAAGACTGCGTAATGATTAGTACTGGTGAGGCTGGTCCCTGCTGTGCCTTGGGTGCAGCTGGAGGGGGCAGGGATTAGCCCTGCCCAGAATGGCTCAGCGGGCAGAGTAATTCTGCTTCCCCCTGGTGGACAAGCAGGAAAATAGGCAAGAAAATATCGTATCAGGTGTTTGTTTTGTTTTGTGCTTTCTGTTCAACGTATACTTTAGGCAATAATTAATATATGTATGTATAATTTTAATACAATTATTGAATTCTATTATAATATCAGAATCTTAACCTATGAAAAGTATATAACGTAGGAAGTGTTTTTAGATTCATGGACCTCTGAAGTTGCATAATAAAAATAAAGAACATGTCCCTTACTATTAGGGTCTTTCACACTGTCTTGTAATCTCTTTCTTCTTCCCCTCTCCACCACCTCCTTTAGTGTTAAGGAATCTCTCATCACCTTTTTATTTAATTATTATATATTGCCTTGCCATTTCTGGAATTATCAAATGTTTAGTATGAAGTATATAAATTTTGGCTGATGTTGGCTTCTTGATGCAACACAATTGTTTTGACATACCTATTTATATTCATTCTCTACTATATCTAATTCCAGTGATGCATTAATTTTGTTCATCTATTCAACCCTTTATGGACATTTGCTTTGTTTCCAATTTCGGGCTATGAAAGTAAACCTGCTATGAACATGTGTGCAGAAAAGTCTTTAACACAAAGAATCAGTGCTTGTGAAACCACTGAATGGCCAGAGAAATGGAAGGTAGGGAGTGACCCCTGGACATCTGGTCTCAAGGTCTCACGGCCACAGCCCCAGTCAGAGGGAAAGAAACACCTGCTTCTCGACAGGAAGCTGCGGCTTCCACAGTCCGCCCACCAGCGAACAGAGAAGCAGATATAAGGGCCCCATCTGAATTCCAGCTTCTAAATTATTAACAAGTCCGCCTCAGAGGCTGAATTTAATTCTCAGTTGGATTCTCAGTCATTAGGAGAAAGGGAAAAGTTGTGTTTAAACTTTCAGTCTGCCTGGTATAAAAGGAAACCTAAAGAGAAATGAAGTACGTGTGCCTCCTACGTGAACTGAGAAGGTCTGTGGTCTCTGTTATGGTGAAGTGAGGGGTCTGAGAAAAATAAAATAACCTTGACATTTCACACCTATGTGATGGTAAAGGGAAAAGACAATAAACACCTCAGTTAAAGGAAGGACTCAGCTTTGTCAGGAAAAGTACCAGCCAAGGACATACCTCGTCACCTGGACTCACTTTCGGTTAAAATTTTTAATATCAGACCATCCTACATGGTTTCCGTCAGCCTTGGAGTTGGAGGCCCCACCAAGCTGGCCTCCCCCGAGATTGTCAGTTTAGTCATGGCCCTTTTTTGGTTCACTCTGCTCCTTTTGGTAATAAATCAACCTAAGAAACGTGTAGTTGATCAGTCTTCTTGTTGGATAATGCTGTCTCACAAGGCCGGGAAGGGTTTCTAGGAAGCCTTCACAGCAGCATTCGTGCTGCTGAACGAGAAACCAGTGGTGATGC